AGAGAGAGAGAGAGAGAAAGACAGAAGGTGTCATGCGAAAGGCAAGAGAACAGCTAAAGTATGCTCTTCACCCTTGCCAAAGCTCAGGACAACAGCAACGACAAGCCGTCACGGTAACCCGAAATCCGGACCAAAAACGGTCCAAGCGCGACACGACGTGGAGTGCAGCTGGCATGGGCTGCAATAGTTCAGCCACTTTGCCTCGGTTTCTTGATAAGTATGGGGTCAGGATATATGTCAAGAGTATTACCTGTCCACTGTCCCAGGGGAACTGTATGCTGACCTTTCGGGATTCTCTGTAGGGATGGTACTAAGCCAGAACAGACTTGAAAGCTACTTACTCGACTGCTACCTAATTCAGTGGCTTGAGTGTGTAGCTACGGCATTCGGATTCGAAGGGTTGGGATTCATTAGCTAAGCTGTTGAGACTGAGTAGATGCTACATACTTCGAAGCAGTGGGTTAAGTACCCTTAGACCTAAACCTACTTTCCACGTAATTCTATGAATGGTTCCGGGAATATGCATGCGACTCCTGAGTTAGCATGCGGGGAGTGGCTGGGCGGGCTCTAGTCTTAAGCAAACCCTACGCGTCCCCAAAATGCAGGAAAGACAAGATAAGGTAGGTTCCTAGGATCACTGAGGATCTCTTTATGCATAATAAGCACGAGAGAAGGTTGATACGGCCTGTTGGGGGAGACCGAATCAAACACGTAACCCATACGTCGAGGCCGGGGAACTCCAGGCAAGGGCAGAAAAAACAACATCCCCTAAACCCTAAACCTCCTGGCAACCAAGATAACATCAACAGGGCTCAGCGGAGTTAGGGTTTAGGGTGCAGGGCACCAGACCTCCCTGAATGGGAGTTTCCGAACATTAGGGTACCTTATTTTGGGGTCCTTATAATAAGGATCCTACTATTTAGGGTACCATATTAGGGTCCCCTATTTTCGGAAACCCCCAAAGTCTGCTAGGCTTTTCATCCCGGAAGTTTCAACCTCCGGGTCTCCCTACACCGGGCGCGACAGATATGATCTTTCTCGGGTTCCCTAGACCCAAAGACGGGTAATAAGTAACGTAATGGGCCCCATCGTATGTTTTACCAGGGGCAATAGGGGCCCTTGAACTTGAACGGTTTCACAGATCGAACACTTGCATCGCACCCAAACTCAAATGTTGAAGTCTTGGGTGCGACGGACTGCCCAACACGCTAAGGGTTTCAGCATCAAGGGCTCCTGAAAGCCATGCACCACAAGAATATGGTCCTTCAGCTTCTAGCGCCAGGCCACGTACCACCTCATCGGTGGTCAACCCAGCGGGCTTGCAAGCGAAGATGACCTGAGTGCTGTAGCCCGGCCGGTTTGGGGGTTTCCTAAATCCTGAACCCGATCTCGGCCCCGATGTTGCCCGAAACATGTCCATAAACTGTAAGCATTGGAACCAATGCCCGGCCCAAAACTTTCAATAGTGTAGGGGCCTGAATAGTTAGAGAATAGACTGGGGCTTTGGGGGAAATTATACCATAACTGTAATAAAGAACCCCAAAATACTATGGGTAATTATTTTGGCCCCTATATTAGGCAACACGAGCACCGAAAGACCCTCAAAGGAACTCAAGTCCCAACTACTATAGAAGCCTAAACAATTACCAATATTACTGTTAGGGTTCCTTACTATAATAATACTCTAAAGGATCTCAAAACCCCATTAAAAATTATTAAGGCCCCCAAACCCTAAACCTTTATAGCCTTATAGAACCCTTTTTAAGGACCCTTTAAAGGAACCCCCAAAACCC